TTACGATGCAAGATGGTGAGGATATCCATATCAAGCAGATAGTCAGTAAAAAACGCAGGACCCTCTTGCAGTGCGGTACCATGACTGGCTTTATAATCAAAGGATTTTTCCGCACACTGAAGGTCATCCTCTCATGTCGTTGCAAATGCTTAGGAGCAGTTTTGTGTTCTGTAGTGGTAGTGATCTTCCCAAGACCTCTCCATCAGCCTCTACTTTTCATATCCTGTCCCATTATCCTCCTTTAGCAGCACTTCCTTCATCCTTTTCCTAGTATTATGTGTCTGTGCATTCGTATGCTGAATTAATAGGATAATTTTGGCAAATCGTCTCTTTATGTGTTACTCGTAAATTAATGTGTGGTCCCTCAATGCAGCTTCAGCAGTCTACATTGTTTGTTGAATCTACGTCGTCGTTACCACTTTAGCTCTCAGTTGATGGCACAAATGGGGGATTCCCATATTTGGGTATTTGTCATGCTTGCTTTCGTATGCTGTCTCGGCTACGAAAACTATACGGTGAGACATGGTTTTTGCATCTCATAATGCGCTGTGGGTAAAAGTGTTTAGTCCTCCCAGATCATCGCGATGTTGGAAGATCCACTGAAAAACTTACTAAAGAAGTAAAAGCAGGAAAATTGCCTCTCTTTCGTATTCAGGTTTGATCGAGAGATGTGAATGCGGTTATATTGGTGGTGGGGAACTACAGCCACTCGGAAGGCGATCGCTCATCTAGTTCATTCGGACACTACGCTGGCAAAATTAAGGGGCTTGTTATCTTGCTAGTAGACGGGCATTCTTCCATGTTTTGCAGCAGTAATTCAACGAGGATTATACTTCGGCGATAAGTGGAACGCAGTAATGCAAGCCAAAATATTCCAAAATGTCGGACTACATAAATTTTAGCCTCTCAATGCTAAGTGATCATTGTGGCAAATCCTTCTAGAAGTGAAATAAAAATCGCGCACTAATTCCCGTCACTCTACTTTTTATTGTTACACCATTTGCCTATACTCTTGATGGCACAAGATTGAGTTGTGCCACCTGTCTAACCTCGTATACATCCATAACCACGTCGGCAATGTGTACGTGCATTACACAGCGTCTTTCAAAGTGACTCAAAGACTACACTGCTACGTTGTGTACTTCAGGGAACTAGTCGACTGCAAAGTTATCGACCATCTGCGCTACCTAATTGCAAATGGCTTGCAAATGCCAGTTAGAATCAAGCTGAGCCACTTTTGAGCGGCAGACCTAACATTACCATTATAGGCTAGCGTTCCTCCCGCAATACCTCTTAAAGAAGGTCTCTTATCTCAACATTAGCCTTCATGTTGCCTGAATTACGCTTAAGATAAGTACTCACGTGCAGCCGACTTAATGCCGCACTGTTCGGTTGTTGGCACTGCTCCAGCCAATATGAGGTTAACAGTGTGTTCATTTGTCAAGGTCGCCAGATGAGTTTGCCCAATAGCTCCAAAGCCTCTTATACGCACTTCGCAACTGACCTTCCTTCTCATGTTACAGCAATTCTTTGATTTAATTTGATCTGCGATATCTACTGTCTGGAAAGAAATACTCCATCGCCACATTCCATGCACAACTACAAGCCCGTCCTGACACTTGATGAACGCCTACTCCCCAACCGCGAAATCAGACCCACCACCAGTCTTGAGGTTAAATGAGTAATCACACACCGTTGAAGCTTATTAAACCTTCTGTCAGCATCCTGAAAATAAATATTTTGAAATATGTTTTATACTTACCACTTACAAGCTTTTGTTGTCTACTACTTTTAATCTCCCTTGACAGCATTGCTAAATTCATGTACGCAAATGATAGGTTTGTAAATAACACGGATAGTCAGAATCTTCCTCAGTACGAAATAATACACTTTACGATGCAAGATGGTGAGGATATCCATATCAAGCAGATAGTCAGTAAAAAACGCAGGACCCTCTTGCAGTGCGGTACCATGACTGGCTTTATAATCAAAGGATTTTTCCGCACACTGAAGGTCATCCTCTCATGTCGTTGCAAATGCTTAGGAGCAGTTTTGTGTTCTGTAGTGGTAGTGATCTTCCCAAGACCTCTCCATCAGCCTCTACTTTTCATATCCTGTCCCATTATCCTCCTTTAGCAGCACTTCCTTCATCCTTTTCCTAGTATTATGTGTCTGTGCATTCGTATGCTGAATTAATAGGATAATTTTGGCAAATCGTCTCTTTATGTGTTACTCGTAAATTAATGTGTGGTCCCTCAATGCAGCTTCAGCAGTCTACATTGTTTGTTGAATCTACGTCGTCGTTACCACTTTAGCTCTCAGTTGATGGCACAAATGGGGGATTCCCATATTTGGGTATTTGTCATGCTTGCTTTCGTATGCTGTCTCGGCTACGAAAACTATACGGTGAGACATGGTTTTTGCATCTCATAATGCGCTGTGGGTAAAAGTGTTTAGTCCTCCCAGATCATCGCGATGTTGGAAGATCCACTGAAAAACTTACTAAAGAAGTAAAAGCAGGAAAATTGCCTCTCTTTCGTATTCAGGTTTGATCGAGAGATGTGAATGCGGTTATATTGGTGGTGGGGAACTACAGCCACTCGGAAGGCGATCGCTCATCTAGTTCATTCGGACACTACGCTGGCAAAATTAAGGGGCTTGTTATCTTGCTAGTAGACGGGCATTCTTCCATGTTTTGCAGCAGTAATTCAACGAGGATTATACTTCGGCGATAAGTGGAACGCAGTAATGCAAGCCAAAATATTCCAAAATGTCGGACTACATAAATTTTAGCCTCTCAATGCTAAGTGATCATTGTGGCAAATCCTTCTAGAAGTGAAATAAAAATCGCGCACTAATTCCCGTCACTCTACTTTTTATTGTTACACCATTTGCCTATACTCTTGATGGCACAAGATTGAGTTGTGCCACCTGTCTAACCTCGTATACATCCATAACCACGTCGGCAATGTGTACGTGCATTACACAGCGTCTTTCAAAGTGACTCAAAGACTACACTGCTACGTTGTGTACTTCAGGGAACTAGTCGACTGCAAAGTTATCGACCATCTGCGCTACCTAATTGCAAATGGCTTGCAAATGCCAGTTAGAATCAAGCTGAGCCACTTTTGAGCGGCAGACCTAACATTACCATTATAGGCTAGCGTTCCTCCCGCAATACCTCTTAAAGAAGGTCTCTTATCTCAACATTAGCCTTCATGTTGCCTGAATTACGCTTAAGATAAGTACTCACGTGCAGCCGACTTAATGCCGCACTGTTCGGTTGTTGGCACTGCTCCAGCCAATATGAGGTTAACAGTGTGTTCATTTGTCAAGGTCGCCAGATGAGTTTGCCCAATAGCTCCAAAGCCTCTTATACGCACTTCGCAACTGACCTTCCTTCTCATGTTACAGCAATTCTTTGATTTAATTTGATCTGCGATATCTACTGTCTGGAAAGAAATACTCCATCGCCACATTCCATGCACAACTACAAGCCCGTCCTGACACTTGATGAACGCCTACTCCCCAACCGCGAAATCAGACCCACCACCAGTCTTGAGGTTAAATGAGTAATCACACACCGTTGAAGCTTATTAAACCTTCTGTCAGCATCCTGAAAATAAATATTTTGAAATATGTTTTATACTTACCACTTACAAGCTTTTGTTGTCTACTACTTTTAATCTCCCTTGACAGCATTGCTAAATTCATGTACGCAAATGATAGGTTTGTAAATAACACGGATAGTCAGAATCTTCCTCAGTACGAAATAATACACTACACATTAAAACAACGACTTATTATCAACCCACAATAACCATTCTCGTATGTGCAAGCAAAACCAAAGCAAAGAGCAAAATGAACCATAAAAGTGGTACAAGGTACAGTTGCATTTTAGCCATAATCTGT